CACGCTCAGCAGTGCACCTCTGCGCACCTTGCGGGCCCAGCCTTTCGCCAACCCCGGGGGACATGGGGGACTCTAACCGGACTTCTCCTCCAGGACAATTATGTAGGCATGACAAAATAAGGTTTAGACGGACATGATGATGGTGATGGTAGTGGTGCTGATGATGGTGATGGTGATGAGGATGGATGGTGTTGATGATGATGATGGTGATGAGGATGGATGGTGCTGATGATGGCGATGTGTTTGTACCGTGCTGGGGATTGGACACAGGGCCTCCCCTCCCTTAGCTTTGATTTCCTTGGCTTTATTTTCTGTATTTCAAAAGTAATGACAGATGACAGAAAGAGGTAACACCACCACAGAGACGCTCCTCCTGCCTTCCCCTCAATTTGGTGCACTGATTACACATCATGATACCACAAGCCAGGACTTTCACACACTGTGTGCACCTGTGTGTGCGTGCGTGTGTGTGCACACTTGCTCGTGTGCGCTGGCAGTTTTTCTCCAGGAGTAGATTGTGGTCCTCACCATCACAACCGAGACTCACAACTGGTCAGAGACACCCTGGAGCATGCAGTGTGCCAGTGCCCAGCGCCCCTGCGTGAGGGTCCAGCCTGGTCTCCATCACTCTTCTTCTGACAGGAGATCTCACCGTGTGTGAAGTTTTCAAGCTCCCCTCTACCCACCCCCAATCAGCACATTGCCCTTTAAATCTACCCAAGTCATTGATGCCATGCCATGATTGATGTAGCCGTCCATCAGTCAAGGCAAATTCTGGTTGCTTGTGGGTTTGGGGCCCGGACCCCATAAAGCTGTTAGGAAAAATCATGTATTAGGTTTTGTGTGGACATAGTTTTCAAGTGCCAAGATGTTTTGATTTGATGGGTCCCTACGTATTTAATTTTTAAAGAGACTGCCAGACTGCTTTCTGGAGGGATGGTGCCATTTTATACTTCTATTTATGATGCACGAGAGATTTTATTTTTCCACAACCTTGCATTTGGTATGCCCCTTCTGTGTGTGTGTGTTGGGGGGGGGGGATTCTAGCTATTCTAATTGTATTCTAATTGCTGTGTGGTGATGTTACTGGAATCTCAATTTGTCTTTCATTAATGTCTAATGATACTGAATATTCCATGTGCTTATTGGCTGTCCTTTTTCTCTTTGGTAAAATGTTTTCCTTACACTTTGTCCATTTTCTAATTGAATTCTTTGATTGATTTGCTGTTTCACTGAGGGTTCTTTTGATAAGCTACATACAAATCTGTGTGTGACAACTCTTTTTCAAATGCTATCTAGCTACTCAGGAGGCTGAGATCCAAGGATCAAGGGCCATAGTCAGGCCAGGCAGACAAGCCAGGAGATTCTTATCTTCAACTAATCAGCAAAAAGCCAGAAGTGGAAACGTGGCTCAAGTGACAGAGCACCAAAGGTGATTTTAAAAGTCAAGTACAAATGCCAAGTCCTGAACTGAGTCCCCAGGACTGGCACATAGAAACAAAAAGCTTTGTGAATCCTTTTCTAAAAGCCTGATAGGTTTATACTTTACACTTAGGGCTCTCTGGGTTTCTTCTATTGACCTAGATAATTATTGGTCTCCCCCCCTCCCCCTGTCTGGAATATCAGAGCTATCCACAGCAATAACTCTTTTTTTTGAGGGGGGGGTCCAGTCGTGGGGCCTGAACTCTGGGCCTGGGCGCTGTCCCTCAGCTCTTCTGCTCAAGGCTAGTGCTCTACACTTGAGCCACAATGCCACTTCCGGCTTTTTTCTTTTTGCTTATGTGGTGCTGAGGAATTGAACCCAAGGCCTCAGGCATGCAAGGCAAGTGCTCTACCACTGAGCCACTTTCCCAGCCCGACACAGCAATAACTCTTAAAATCAAGAAGAGTGAATTCTAACATTTGTTGTTTGTTTTTTTCGGTTTGAATTCAAACCTTTAGCTTGCTAGGTAGGCACTCTACAACTTGAGTCATTCTAGCAGCTTCTTTTATGCATGAGTGATTTTTGAGATAGGATCTTCCTTTAAGCTCAAGAAAGCCTGGACTGTAATCTTCCTATTTGTGTTTTCCTCCTTTGTTGGGATGACAGGTCTGCCCCACTGCCGCAGCCAGTGTGCTTCTTCTACAGCTTGGGAAGACAGGCTCCTACCACTGTGCCCAGCCAGTCACTGAAATGGACTCTCAAGAACTATTTAGTCGGGGCTGGGAAGGTGGCTCAATGGTAGAGCGCTTGCCTTGCATGCCTGAGGCCCTGGGTTTGATTCCGCAACACCACATAAGCAAAAAGAAAAAAGCCAGAAGTGGTGCTGTGGCTCAAGTGGTAGAGCGCTAGCCTTGAGCTGAAGAGCTGAGGGACAGCGCCCAGGCCCAGAGTTCAGGCCCCACGACCGGACCCAAAAAAAAAAAAAAAGAACTATTTAGTCTTTGTGAAGGGGCAGACCAGGGCTGGCTTTGAACTTCAGTCATCTGATCTCTGCCTCGCAGGTGGCAGGGATTACAGACGTGAGCCAGGGCACCCAGCTCCTCTACTACTTCATTTTTATTCTTCTGTCTGTACCTCCATGTATATATTTTACAATAAGCTTATCTGCATCTATGAAAACCTTTGCTATTCTGAGTCTTCCAGGCCATGAGCAGAATAGTTTCTGCGAGAGCTCTGGCATCTTTCAAGCATATTTTGCAGTTTTCAGCATGTAAAGCCTGGTGTGGGGTTTGCATCGAAGTGGTTTTTTTGTTTTGTTTTGTTTTGAGAGCATTTTGTTTTGAGAGCAAACTTCTATTGTGTGGTTACATAGGTTTATCACTAATGTTAGAAATACACTTTATTTTATATGCTGGTCTTGAGTCCTATAATGTTGACAAACTCAATTTGAGGAGTTTTTTTTGTTGTTGCTTCCTTGAGACTTCTCTTTTGAAAAGAGAGAACGTTTAATTGCTTCTTTTTTGCTGTGTATCAATTTTGTTTCCTTTTGTTCTGTATGCTGGTATTGGAGCTTGAACTCCAGGTCCAGGTTTTGCCTTTAGCTTTTTTCACTCAAAGCTGGCATTCTACCATTTTAACCACATCTCCACTTCTGGATTTTTGCTGGTTAATTAAAGATAAGAATGTCACGGATATTTCTGCCCAGGCTGGCTTTGAACTACAATCCTCAGTTCTCACCTCCTGAGTCCTAGGATTACAGGCATGAACCACAGAGTAGGCTGCACTGTCTTTCCTTTCCTCTCTTTTTGTCTTATCACATGGGTTGAGACTCTGCTAAGATCTTAAATGGCAAGGATCAGAGTGGTCCTTGTGTGTTGCTCCTAACCTGGCATCACGGTCAGTCTTCTTTCATTATTCAATGTGAAGTAGATTACAGAATTTCTTTACTCTTAACCCACTGAAATTCCTCTATCAGTAGATACAATTGATTATACTAGTTAACTTTTGAATATTGAGTCAGTCTTAAATATCTGAGATTGACTCAAGTCTTCTTTTGCTAAATTCTATTAGCTATGATTTTTTTTAAAAAAAAACATGTTTAGTTTTTATTATCTTTCAATAGTTGTACAAAGGGGTTTCAACTGAACATGTCAGTTGATGAGCACAAAGCATTGAGGTCAATGTCTGACTTTATCTTCGTAAGAGATAGGGCTCTGTGTTTTGTCATTTCTTTCCTGCTTATTTTTTTTTCTGATTTTTATACCAGGTGATAATAGTTCAATGAAATGAACTGTGACAAGTTTTCCTCTTCTACATTTTATTGCTCATCACTGTATATAATTAATTGGTGTTAGTTCTTCTTTAAAAAAATGAATAGAATTTTTTAATAAATCTAGAAATAAGTATTTCTTTTTCAGTAAATTTTAAATTAAGGATTCTATTTTATTAATGTATAACATATCATATAAAGTATAATGTAAGTATAAAATTATATTCTTATATTATAATTTATAATATATACATAATATTATGTACAGCATATATTACTTTTTATATTTAATATGACTATATTTTATTTGTACATAAATTAACATTATATTTATATATTTTATAATTATAATATAATACTATAACTAGGTATAGTGCTCCACACATGTAAATTCTAGCACGTGGGAGGCTGAGGCAGAAAGCTCACATATCTGGAGCCAGCCTGGTCTACATAGTGAGCCCTTGCCTCAAAAATGTACTATGTAGATATTCAAATGATCCATTTGGTATTGTCTCCTTTAGTTTGTTCAGTTTGTATCCTTGGCTTCTCTTCTCCTCCAGTGTCTGTAGATTCTCAGTGGTCTTCATTGTGGAGCTGGTGCAATCTGCCATGGTTATCACCTCTACCTTCCCCTAAATGGGGAAGCTCAGGGTTTTTGTTGTTCATTATTTGTTTGTTTGTTTTTACCACTGTCTAGACTCATAAATTAAAGTCAATGTCTACCTTAAAATTCTAAGATCTCTTGATATTTTGGTGTTCATATCTACCATTTGGTCTATTTGTTGGGAGAAGAAATTTTTAGTTGATGCTGATTGGTGATCTAATGAGTCCCTTTGTCTTTGAAAACCAGAAAATGTAAGTATGATGTCAGCACTAATTTAGTTCTCATCTCACTGACCCAATGGGGGTACCACTGCTTTCTCGCTGGGTGAAGGTACCTCTAGCAATGTAAGAATTTGGAAATTTTCTTTTGACACGCATGTGCCTCTCTTTCTTTCCTTCTTTTGAACTAAGGGCATCGTGCCCACTAAGCTGGTATTCTTGCACTTGAATCATGCTCCAACACTGTTTTTGTCACGGTGGTTGGTTTTGCTTTGTTTGTGCTAGTCACT